TGGCAGCTCTGTTTCCATGTGTCCAGTTCAAGTGCACAGAAGATGCTCAAAAATGGACTTGAATTGGCTCTGTTGGTGCTCGTATCTGAGTGGAGATCACAGGCCACGGGGGCTGTCTCTAGGCCCTGGTTTGTTTTAGCCACTTTTGTGTGTCAGTCTCCAGGAACAAGGAATCTAGACTAAGGGGAGTCGTCCCCACTTGGCACCCAGTAACCAGTGATGACATCTTGTCCTGGCTTTTCTAAAAACTTTTTTGCAGTTTTTGGCCTGCTCCCCCATGGATAAGCTTTTCTAACGTGCTTTGCTCTCCGGAGCGCACATGAATGCTATTAGAATGAACCCAATTTGGTGAAGAAACTCAGAACAACCCGTGCTAAGTGATTCTCAGTTTTGAGGATCACCTTCCACGGGGACAGGTGGCTGAGTCTGACATCCAGGATCATGGACCTAAACAGTTTGCTGCTGAATCAGGCTGGGCTCGTGGTGACTTGGAGCAGAGTGGTGCAGCCATCCCTCCCCACATTTCTGACCCCAGCAGGTCCTAAGCCTAGGTGCTATAGGCATGACCTGCTGCACACAGGTTTGACTGTCCTGAGGGGTGCCCAGAGGTGGGAGAAATGAGCTAGAAGCAGAGCTGCCCCCAGACCTGACATTGTAAACTGCTGACATTCCCATGGCATGCCAGGCCCTGTGGTGTGGTATGCAGTGGGTTAGACCAGGAGTCTCAGGACAGTTTCCAGCTCTGTTTTCATTATGGGCAGGCCCTTAAACCTCTCTGAGCCTCCATCTCCTCCGTGGGACATCATAAAGTTGCCTGCTACTTCTCAAGAGTGGTGACAAGGTCATTTCTTCATTCATTTGCTTAACAAACATGTCCTGAGCACCTACTATGCATCACACTCGGTGCTGGTGTGTGGGAGGAAACACTGCTCAGATGGAGGGCCCTCAGTATAGGTCATGCAGGCTCTGGCCTGGCACGGCAATGTCCCCAGGGAAGAAAGCAGGAAACAAGCTGTGCCATTTAGTGTTGATTTTGCTCTCTGCTTCTCTGGCTTTTGGTGAGGGAGGGTGCCAAGAAGACAACTGGATGTGCTGTGGCCCCCTCCTAGGCCATGAGGAGCAGCAGTGTTCTGGCCTTTCGGGGACCCGGCCAGGGGCTTTGTGAAGGGATGTGGGTGGAGGGGGGACATTGCCATGGTAGGATCTGGCTGTCCTCCTAACTTCTGTTAAAAAGCACTCAGTCTTCCTGTGGACTGGTGTCCTGAGGCTCCCTCCTGAGGCTCTGACAGTCAAATGTGTGCAACTCCTGCGTCTACGCTTCTCAGTGCTGCCAGTGTGTCTGGGCCCACCATGTGCCCAGGCCCTCCACGTGCCCACCTCCTCAGCTGCCCCCTCCCCCTGCTGTCTCCAGGCCTCCTCTTGCCTGTCCTGCCAGGTGTTAGGCAACTGGCTCTGTGTTCTCCTGCATACCTGTGCTCCTAAAGTCCTAGCTTATTTTTGCCCACCTTTTAAATCCTGATTTTCCAGTTTATAGGCTCCCCTCATCCCTGGGACATGATCTTCTGCACCAATTTCATGGCTCCAGTCTTTGTTTTCCTTTTTGTCCCGAATCTCTTCCTGGCTCCAGGCCTGAGAGAATATCTGGCCTCCTGGCTTGGCCTCGGAGCCTCTTCTCAACAGCACCCCCCACGTGTGTTTCTGAGAGGCTCTCCCTACCCCCTGGAGTGGGACTCAGATACAGAGTCTTGGCCTAACCTGCTCCCTAACCCTGACTATGACTGTCCTGTTTCCCTCTTTCCCCCATGTGTGGGACACTTATCTTTCTTTCTGGTTCTGCCTTCCCAGTTCTTCCAATTGCTAGTGTGATCTGGCATTTACCCCTCACCTGTTCAACATCCTTCTAACGTGGAACCAAGGGTCACATTCCTAGGGAAGCATGAGCCTTGGGCTGCTTGGTGACAAACTGAACAAGCACTGTCTGTATCAGATGCCACTTTGGGAATGGACTGAGTACCCCCTGGGAAACTGGGCTGGGAGGCCTGAACTTGGAGATTCCTGGATAGGGCAGGCTGCCAGCTTCCAGCAAAGTCCATGGAGAGCAGGCAGATAGGGTAAGAGTGGGGTCTGTTGGGCATAGGCCTCTTACTGAGCATGAAGTGGAACATGAAATAGGTTTCTGGCAGCAGCCCCACCTGTGTTGGTTCAATAAGTCGTGTTTGGAAAGTGGAATCCAACCAGAGAGGCCTACGTTGACATTTCTTGGCCTGAAGATCAGGCACGTGTACCCTTCGACTTTGAAGTCCCCAGAGTGGTGGAATTTGGGGCCCTTCTCAGCGTGGGTCTTAGGTAGTCTGGGTGCTGCTATCTCACTATGTTTGTGGAGTGGCCTGAAGTCAGGGAATATCTCCGAAGTCTGGGCTCCCAGACAGAGGGAACCCCACTCCCTCTATAAAGGCTGTGGGAATGGGCACTGCTGGAGCAGTGGCTGGCCCATGGTGCAGGATGAGGTGCCTCATGGTAACCAGGTAAATGTCAGACCCCAGGGGAAGGAAGGGCATCTCATGCATCCTCTCTGGGTGGGTCTATCCCTGGTTTTCCAGCCAGTGGTCCCGCTGGGGAGTCTTAGGATGAAATGCTGCAGATTCCCAGGACAATGGCTTCCTGTCAAGCTTGCCTTTGCACATTAAGACCTTTTCCTCTAAGTGCCCCTGCACTTCAGGGTGTGGTGGAAAAGAACAGGGAATCAGATGGGCAGGACGTGCCTTATGGAGTTGAACTGCCTGGGATTTGATTCTCAGTTCCATCACTATCCTAACTCTCTGTGCCTCAGTTTCCTCATCTGTTGTAAAATTAGAATTATAGTGTCCATCTCATAGAAATGTTATGAAGATTGTATGAGATAAAATTTGTAAAATGCTTCAAACAGTGCCTGACACACTATAAGAGCTACATATGCATTTGTTAAACAAAATAAACTTCTCTGTTGTACCAAGTCCTTTGTGGGTGAAAGTCCCAGGTTCTCCTCCAAAAGTAATAGCTGATATTTATAGAGCTGTTTGCTGCTAGGTGCCAGGCATAGAACTAGGTCCTTACCTATACTGTCACTAATCCTCCTGAATCAGGCAGACATTATTTGCATTTTACAGATGAGAGAGCTGTTGTTCAGGGAGGGTCCCTGAGCTTCCCAAGGCCACGTGGCTAGTGATGGAGGAGCAAGGACGTGGCCGCAGGTGGACTTGCACTCTGGCTGTGACGTAACACTACCTCCAGGTGCTCATTTGAGCCTCATCAAGCCCTGAGCACAGAAAGACCTTTTGAGTCCCTCCTGGGGAAGCTGGATCCCTGAAAAGGGTCAGGGTGACTTCAGACATTCAGGGATCTTTGTGGTCTTGAAAATAAAGTTCCTCCAATTCCCAGGCATGCTGGTGGCCCCAGCACTGGAGGAAAACTGGAGCTGAGGATTCTGTGCTGGTTTGAGCCTCCATACAGGGCTGTCCTCCTGGTTCAGGATGAGGCCATGGGCTGCCTTCTGAATGCTGCTGGCTTCCTTCTCTGAGAAAAGGCTCTCTGAGGCCTTGTGCTAGGACAGGTCAGCTTGGCAGAGTCTTAGCTAATTACTATACGTGTTGTCAGATTTTTGGCAATTAGATCCTGAGCCAATCAGGAACCAGAGCCAGAATCAAGCAGAAAACATTTTGGAGGCCTGGACGTGGGGACACGGGAAAGGGTAGCTGTGGGACTGGTTCAGGAGCTCAGTCCAGCTTCCTTCCTTTTGTGCCTAAGTCCTTTTCTGTTATCAGAGACAAAGGCTGAGAAATATCTTGTGAACCTCTCGTTTGTAAGTCAGGTACCAGCTGAAGTCACATAGGAGGGCTGGGGCAAGGGGCACCAGAGGAGAGACCATCATTCACATATAAGCCCACTCCATATGGCCATTTGGGATGTGAGCAACATGAGAAAACCCATCCTCTTTGTGAGTCTTAAAGCTGCTACCGTTCTATTGTGCTCAAAGCACTTTCTCATCTGTAGTCTCACGTCGTCCTTTAAGCCAGCCTGATGGAAGAAGACCACAGGATGCTTACAGGTAGAGGGGACTGGCGGAATCACCAAGCTCCATGTCAATCTGCAAGAGAGGAAACAGAGCCAGAGAGGTTGAGCCACCTGGTTGGTCAAAAACAGGGTCAGGAGAGTGTCTGGAAAGGAAGGAGTCAACGTATTTTACAGAAAAGGGAGCCGAAGCTCAGAGGGCTGTGGGAGCCACCAAGGTGAAGCTCAGAGGGCTTTGGGAACCTCCCAAGTTGCCACGGACATGGCAGAGCCGGGTCTAGAACCAGTGTCTGCTGTTTCACCTCTTGATCTCACCTGTTGACCAGACTTCATCACCCAATACCTAACCTCGATCAGTAGGCCCCTGGGAACCAGGTTCTGGGCTGAGAAACCCTCTGAATAATTTCCACCCACTTTAGGGCAAAAGTTAACCAGAGAATGAAGAAAAGTGGTTAGCAAAAGTGGGAGCATTGTCGTAGCATTTACCAGAGTGCAGGAGACACCATTTTCCTCTCCACACAGTGCGCTCCAGGAGAGAAGAGGCTGTACCCTTTTCACTGTCGTATCCCCTGTGACCTATACGGCGTCTGGCACATAGTAGGTACACAGCAAGAATTTGGTGACTGAACAAGTGATAATGTGCTTGGTATCTTTCAAACTGGGCTGTGAAACTCATTAGTGGGTTATGAAACACATCTAGAGGTTCTCCGCCAGCATTAAAAAAGAGAAAGGAATAGAAAATATCAGGGTGCATTGCATTTAGTAAGGATAAACAATGATTTGTGAACTGATGTAAAATATATTTCTCACTTTGGGTTGTGGTAAAAAAATATCTGAAAGCCATTGGCCAGGGTTCAATGGGATATTGACTCAAAGGCTGGGCTGGGGACAGCAGTGTGGGGAGGGGTTTATGGAACCCAGAACCTCTGGGCACTTCTCGGAGGCTAAAGGAGATGCCCACCCTCATCATGATCCTTCCCTGTCCCCTCAGGATCCCTCTGCAAAAAGGGAAGTCACTGAGGAGGGCCCTGAAGGAGCGTGGGCTGCTGGAGGACTTGCTGAGGAAACACCGGCATGCAATTGGCAGGAAGTATTCCAATTTGGGGAGGCGGCCAGCGAGCCTGTGACCAACTACCTAGACATGAGTGGCTCTGAAGCCTTTCCAGTAGTGAGTTCTCACGCTCCTTGGCCCCTGACTCCCCATCTTTTCTCCTTTCCAGGATCATGGAGCCTGTGGGCTGTGGAGACCTCTCCTCGACCTCAGTAAGCTCCACACTGGGCCAGCAGACGTAGCAAAGGCGATCCGTCTGCCTTCTAGGCTCTGAACGTCATGGCTTGAAGGGTCTGAGCTCAGAAGACCTTTCTCACACAGCATCCCTTGGGGGTATATAATTTGCTCCCAGGTCCAACCTCATGTCTGCCTTTCCCAGCCCAGGGAACCCATGTCTTAGTCTGGGCTCAGCAGGGACGGGGACAGATGGTGCCCATTCTGCAACTGCCATCATCCTCTTCCTCCCACCCAGGATGCTGGCAGGAATGCCTCTTGTGCTTTCCTCCTCTCTGGAGCTTGTCTCTCTCTCATCTGGCACTCTTGGCAGTAAACAACCAGGCTTTTTTCTATTCCGTGCTCTCATTTCCTTATCTAGGTCATCTTCACTTCCCTGCTCTGACGCGTGAGGAGAGCTGGCAGGGAGGCAGGTGTGGCAAGGACAGCATGGGTGGGGACGTGCGGCCCTGCACCTAGCTGATGGCTCACCCCCTGACCAGCTTCTTCCTGCCCCTGCAGGGGTGGCCCAGTCTCTGTCCCAGGCAGGATTTGTGTTGTGGTCCAAGGTCTGCTTCTGAGGCTGATTCCAGCTGTGGTTGTAGGGCTTGTGGGGACTGGGGATGAAGACCCCACCCCAGTATCCTCTTTCCATTTCCTCCCCCATGACCCCCCAGGTCTCTGGGAAGAAAGCACAGGGCCTACAATACTGACCATGCTCCATGCCAGGCATCAGTCCTGCCTCCCTCCCTGAGCCCCTGCCCTACCCAGGGCTGTCTGTCCTCAGTGTCAGTACTTTGGCAAGATCTACATTGGGACCCCACCCCAGGAGTTCACCACGGTCTTTGACACAGGTTCCTCAGACCTCTGGGTTCCCTCTGTCTACCGCAACAGTGATGCCTGCCGTGAGTGACCTCGCTTCCCCCGTCTCACCCCCAGGCTCAGTTACCCAGCAGGGCCACTCTCCCACCAGCGTTCAGTGTGGGTAGGTGGGTGGGAGGAAACGAGGGGTGGCTGGAGAGCATGCTTTGACATTCCCAGCCTCCCAGTTGTGTCCCATCTCCTTGCTCAACCCTCACAACTGGCCAAGACTGGGAAGGTTTGAAAGTCATGGGTCTATGAATAAAGCACCAGCCAGAAGTTAGGGAACCTTAGGTTTCGTGTTTTGTTTTGTCTCTACTGGGAGCCAAGGCAAGCTGCTTACCTGCCTAGGTCCTCAGTTTTTCTTTCTATAAAATGGGGCTATGATATGCCAGTGGGTGCTGGGAGAACAAAGTGAAAGAGTCTGTTCCTAATGATGAGTAAACGTTTAACATATGTTAGTCATTTATGTCTCCAGCAATCCTGGGAGGTTGGTGCTCTTCTCATCCCCATTTTACAGATGAGGAAACCAAGGTTTGGAGAGGAAAAGGGACTTGGCTAAGATCAGTCGGCTGGTAAAAGTAAAATGTCCATGGCAACTACAGGGATGTTTTTTCCCTTTCTTTTTTATTTGGAATCTTACTGGGGGCCAGACAGGAAGCAGCAAGGAATAAGTTCCTTTATTGAGCTGTGGAACCAAGACTGCAGAGAAAAGGGGCTGCTTATTGTCTAGAGAGAGAGTGGCCACATCGTTAGATCACATTCTTACAAGCCCTGGTGAAGCTTTCGGCTCCGACTGGCACTGTTGAGTGGTGAGAAAATTCTAGGAGCCCCACGAACCCTGGGTCTGTGTTTCAGAAACCGCCATCTCTTTGGCCTATCGAAGTCCTCCACCTTCCAGAACCTGGGCCAGTCCCTGTCCATTCAGTATGGCACAGGCAGCATGCAGGGCTTTCTGGGCTATGACACTGTCACCGTAAGTGGGGCCGGGGCTGGCCAGTGCTCACCTCGCCTGTCCCACCAGCCACTTTCCCACCCAGACACGCTGGCTCTGGAGCGCTGCCCCTCCGGCCGGCGCTCAGGGGCTCTTTGGATCCTGCCCACGAGGAGGGCTGAGTGGGTGAGGATTCTGAGAGGGATTTAGGCCAACAGCCCGCTGTTTAGGCCAGCTCCTCATTCCTCTCCTTCCCATGCCAGCGCTCAGAGCTGCACCTGAGAGGCTTCTCCCAGCCCAGGTCTCCGCCTCCCCAGCCCATTTTCATGTGTCTTTTCCACAATTGGTTCAGAATCCAAGCTTGCGCCAGCTCTGAGCTCTTCAGTGTCATGTGTGTGATCTTATTTTAAATTTTGTTCTCCCAACAGCCCTTGGAGGAAGGTATTATAATCCCTATTTTTCAGACGTGGAAACTGAGGCTCAGATGAGTTGATAATGTGCCTGAAGACACACAGTGGAAAGCCCACATCTCCGACTCTCTGCGCAGGGCTCTCGGCCCTCCAGGATGAATGCACCCCTTTCCTCCTTTCTTTTTGGCCTCCAAAGTACCCAGTACAGTGGTGGGCATGTAGTAAGTGCCAATACACTTTAGCTTCTTTCTTTCCTTCTAAGAAAACATCCAACATTAAAAATCAAGCAGTATCCCTTGGTGCTTATTACTTTGATCTTCCTTGGGTTCTTCCTTGAGTCTGGCTGAAGTCTCTCTTGCTTTGATCCCACAGGGTACAGCCCCTCCCTGTTGATAGCCTTTTCCTCAGCCTCTTCCTTGGTTGGGCAGGTGCTCACCCAGCTCAGGCTTCTCTGAGAGTGAGCACCAGATAGCGGGTGCCCCAGAGCCACCTGCTGAGGTGGCCCAACAGTAAGGCCTTTGGAAGGCGCATTCCCCTGCCTGGGCGCCCTACTTCCTCTGTTGTCTGGAGCCATTTGCTTTATTTCCTGCTATTTTAGATGCAGGAGAAACACCCTCCTTCTTTGCTTTGCTGGCCTGTGCCTGTGGACCTCAGCTGCTGGATCTGGCTGCTTTCACTCACCCACCGTGGGCAGGGGTCGGGGAGAGGGCCTCGGCGGTCAGGCTCCTCTCGGCAGTCTCATGTGCAAGCTGGAGAGGTGTGGGGTGGGCTGTGTTGGGAAGGCCTCTCCTGGTTTGGGGGCTGGCCCCACGCAGGCCCTACTCTCTGCTGTTTGGACCAGCATTGGCTGGGGCCAGTGTGGGGACCGAGAGGGGAGGTCATCCTAGCTCCCTGTCTCAAGCAGGAAGTTTGGGGGGTGGGGGAAGGATGAAGAAGTCCAGGAGGCTTAGGCTGGGGCCTGGCTCAAATAATAGGAGGGGAGTCAGGGTCAGGAGCAGAAGGGGCTGTCATGAGAGCCACGGGGAAGGCGGGCTCTGAGCACAGGCTGTGGGAGACAGCGGAGCTCCATTTAATACAGGGTCTCCCCACATCCAGAAGCACCTGAGGAGGAGCCTAGAGGAGGGGGCGCCAGGTGCCAGGCCGAGAGGGGGAAGGGGACACCCTGCACTGGGTGCCTGTCAGGAGCAGGGCTCTGGGGCAGGTACAGCAGACTTCTCTCTGTCAAGCTGTGTGACCTTGGACAAGCCTCAATTTCCTCGCCTATAAAATGGATGTAATAATACCTCACAGGGTTGTGGTGAAGATTAACCACATTAATGTTCATTGTTTGTCTAACCTTTCATTCCTCTACCCCATCCGTCCACAAGTCCTGTTGACCCTCCCTCCCAGCCCACCGGTGAGGGTCTGACCACTCTCACGCCTCCCCCTGCCATCTGCTCTCACTGGATGACTGGGACAGTCCCCGGTGGGCCCCCGCTTCCACCCTGTCCCCCCACGGTCCACACAGCAGCCAGGGGATCCTTTTATAGTCTGAGCCGTATCGTGCCAGTCCTTTGCTCAAAATCTTTGCTAGCTCCTTATGTCACTGGAGTAAATGAGGAGTCCTTACCCTGCCCACGCTGTCCCCTGCTCCTCTCCCCCACTCTCTGCCTCGTTCACTGTTCCCTCTGCTCTGTGCACACCCTTGTGGTGACTTCTTCAGAGTGCTTATTGCCATCTGACATGTTCTATATTATGTTTCAAAATTTATTGTCTGTCTCCTCCACACTGGACTGTAAGTTCCCCCGGGCACACACTGTCTTTCTTCATCCTCAGGGCCCAGCACCTGGCACACTGGAGGCCCTCAGTAGCGGTTGACCGAAAGAAAGAACGAATCCATCTATTGTTCAGCTCGCCCCCAGCTTTTGCACCATGATCATCAGTGTCTGCACCCAGCACCATGTCCTCTCTTCCCCTGACTCATCAGACCAGTTTCTCAAAACCACAGCACAGACTGCTAGCAAAGGAGGGGTTTTCTTTTGAGCTCAAATCACTACGCTGCCTATAAGAGGAAAGGAGGGTTAATGAGGCGAAACTCTGGCTTCTCAACCAGGACTGGCTGACCCCGTTCCTAGGACTCTTCAGTCTCGGCTGCAGGGGCTCCCCGGTGGAAGTCATTACAACTCTCTTGCAGGTCTCCAGTGTTGTGGACCCCCGCCAGACTGTGGGCCTGAGCACCCAGGAATCTGGCAACATCTTTGCCTACTCTGAGTTTGACGGGATCCTAGGGCTGGCCTATCTGTTTCTTGCCTCTGAGTACTTGGTGCCCATGTTTGACAACATGATGCACAGGCACCTGGTGGCACAGGACCTGTTCTCGGTTTACCTGAGCAGGTAGGAGCTGCGCCCAGCTAGGGCACTTTGATGGCCTGGTGAAGACTGTTGGCTGAGGAGAGTGTGCACCCCTTGGGGACACTGCAACTCAAAGGTGCTCACCTGCATCCAAGCAAACCCTTTCCTTGTTTCCAGGCATGTCCAACCTCTTGTCCAAAGCCCCAATATAGTCATTTATGCAGCCAGAGTTCATTGGGCCAAAATTTGACTTTTTCTGGCGTTTAGAAATGAAGCCTGACCCCACCTTTGTATAAGAGGCTTTAAATTTCATTTTCTAGAGTGGAAGGACCTCAATAATCATTTGTTGATGTCACTGAATTCACAGACTTAGAGCCAACTCCAAAGGAGTCCTCCTTCTCCTTTCACTAGGGAGGAAACTGAGGTCTGGGGAGGGATGGTCACCCTGGGCTCCTGCTCCAGGTCCAGTGCTCCCTCTACCTTCCTGCTCCCTGTGATGATGAAGCTCAGCTTGGACAGAGGGGCAGGTGGCAGGAAGGGGAGAAGGGGACCACCCTCAGGAGGAGAAGGGACTGGGTGGCTGAGGTCATGGAAACTCAGGCAAGGGGTAAACTGGTGCATTCATTTATTCACTTAATAAATACTTATTGGGCTCTTACTCTGTATAGGGGCTGTGCTAGGAGATGGGGATACATTGCTAAGCAAGATGAAGTGGAAGCTAACATTTTAGCAGGGAAACAGCCAGCACACAATTGCATACACGGTTGTTAAAAGACAGGGCCGGCCCGGTGGCACACTGGATAGTGCACTGCTTGGGAAGCGCGGTGGCGCTCCCGCCGAGGGTTCGGATCCCACATACAGACCGGTTCCCGCTCACTGGCTGAGTGAGGCGCGGGAGCAACACCGAGGGTTGCGATCCCTTTGCCGGTCCCCGGTCCGGTGCGGGGGCGACACTGAGGGTTGCGATCCATTGCCGGTCACGGAAAAAGACAAAAAAAGGAAAAAAAAAAAAAAAAGACAGTGTGGTAAGGGTGCTGCAGGAGAGATTCAGGGGTATCAGAGGCTTTGCAGCAACAGGGAAGCTCAGTCTGATGAGGTGTGTGTGGGGTGGCTTGGGCTGGCTTTGCTGAGGGATAGTTGTAGTTACCCAGGTGAGACAGAGGGACAGCACATTTTAGGTCTTGGGGACAGCATGTAACAGCCTGCAGGTAGGGGCCTGATGAGCTCTAGGAACCGAAAGCAGGTAAGACACAGTGTGCAAGTGTTTCCTGGCCAAGGGAAACACTCCTAGAGGGGACCTGGGCTTGGGTGGCAGGTTTAATCCAAAGAGCAGGACCTAGTTGAAGACCTGCTCTCCTATTGGGGGCAGAAAGCTCTGGGTGGTGGGTGGGTGGGGGAGTAGGGGCATAGGGAGACAGCTGGGAACACCAGGGGTGGCTGGAGCAGAGCTTGGCAGTCCTGTGAGCTGTGTGGTGGGCTTCGTCCTCCCCTCACACGGTAACAGCCTGAGCTCTGGGCTCCAGGTGCTGCCTGAGCTGGGAGGTGGGGGTGTGGGTGGGGGTGGGGGCTGCAGTGCTCAGGGGAGAAAGGACAGTGCAGCTAATATCACAGCAAAGCCCATGTGAGGAGGAGAATGAGGGGGCCTGGGAAAGCTGTTCTGATGTCTTGGGGGTGGGGGTGGTAGGGGTGGGAGGAAGGCGGGGCTGGGTCTGAGTGGCATCAGTCCCAGGGTGGGGCTGGGCACCTCCTCACCTAGCTGGGATGTTGCCATGTCACAACAAGCCTTGCTTTGTTTCAGGAATGACCAGGGGCACACGTTCATGCTGGAGACATCAACCATCCTACTACACAGGCTCCCTGCACCCGGTGCCCATGACTGTGCGGGAGTACTGGCAGTTCACTGTGGACGGGTGGATGAGTGGCAGCCAGAGGCTGACTCCTGGTGTGGGGACATGAGGGCACGGGTGTCAGGCCACAGGGCTATGAGAAGGACTGCAGCACAGTGGCTCATAAGACCATCGTCAGAATCTGAAGCAGACACTTCCAGGGCCAGTGACCTTCGTCGGTGACAACGCTGCACGTTCACCAGTGCTTTATTAATGAGACCAGCTGCATCTATCGAGTACCTACTACCTGCTAGACACCATGCTGAGCAATTATATGTCTGTCTCATTTATTCCTCACTGAAACCCTACGAGGTGGGTGCTATTATTATCCCTGTTTTACATTTTACTAACGCCTGGTTTGAGCCCCCCTCACAACTGTCCCTCGAGGAAGTCAAGGGAGGGTTGTTAAAACACCTGTTCTGTAGACACGAAGCCTGAGTGCACAGAGGTTGGGTGACTTGCCCGAGACATGCAGCAAGTAAAGGCAGAGAGAAAACTTGAAGCCAGATCCTCAGGCTACGAGTACGGTACTCACTCTATCCCGTAGTACACATGAATTTGTTGTTTTATTGAAATTTCTGTCCCATGGAAGGTGGGATGTCCTCAATTTAGCTATTGATTTGGGAGAAAATGGTTTTAGGTCTCTTCTGAGCTCGGGAAGTTTTTGGGGCTCCAGGGATGGTTGGGTCTTCCCACCCAGCCCTTGGGCTGGATGCTGCATGTGCCTTGGGGCCATCCTCTACAGCATCGCCATCGCCAGCATGGTGGTGGCCTGTGATGGCAGCTGTCAGCCTGTCCTGGAATCGGGCACCATCCAGCTGATCGATGTCCTCGACATCCAGCAGGCCATGGGGGCCACACAAGGCCAGTGTGGCCAGGTAAAGCCAGGCCCTCAGCCCACCTCCCAAGACCCCCTGAAGTGAGGGCCCCTTTTCACAGTGAAGGAATGAGAGAGAGAAGTGGGGAGGTTGGGGTTTCTCAGGAGGCCTTCGGCTCTCGGTGTACTTGTGACCTCTGGCTGGGCCTGGAGGGGGAGGCAAACTCTTCTTTGTTCCAAGCTGGGGTCTGTCCCTGGGTTGGCTGACATCTTGACCCCTCATTGTGACTCTTTTGAGGACCATATTTTGGGACCAAGCCTCATCCTGAGAGCCTCCCTGTGAGTAGGCAGGGCCCTCCCCACCCCGTGGCTCACAGGCTGTGGAGGAAGGGCTCTGTGCTGTCACCACGGGTGCCTCTTCCTTCGCCCCTTCTTGGTTCTTTAGCTTGACGTTGACTGCGGGAGCCTGAGCAGCATGCCCACGGTGGTCACTGGGATCCATGGCAGGCAGTACCCATTGCCTCCCTCTGCTTATACGAGCCAGGTATGAGTCTCAGAAGAGGGAGCCCTGGGCTCCACCTGGACACCCCTCCCTGGCCCTCTCAAGTTGGGGCCCTGGCAAGTCAGTGAGGTTGGTGGTAAGTGGTTTGGAGCAGATGGAGAATGGAGGGGCACACATTTAGACCGACTGGCCCTTCCGAGTGGGGCCATGTTGTCCTCAGGCCTCATTTGTGGCCACTACAGCCTCATCCTGGGAGAAATGGGGAACGGGAAGGACAGGGCACAGAGGCTTAAGCGAGGCTGGGGTGGGTAGGACCACAGCTCCCTGTGGGAACCTCCATCCGCTGCTCAAGCTTCCAAGCCCAGGGCCTGGAGCTCTGTCCAGGGTTTTCTTAGCTAGCCTGGGCTTGGTGGGGACCCAGCTCTCCTCCCCACTGACCCACTGACCTTGGCTTTAACCTAGGGAGGCAGCCTGCCTTGGCTCCAGGCCACCTCCAACCCGCTCATCAGGGCAGTAGGTGCTGAGAGCAGGAGGGCAGGGGGTGGGGAGGACAAGAGAGGGGTGGAGTCAGTGCAGGGGACCAGGACCCCGCTGGGTGATCTTGGATTAATTCACTTTATTTTTTGAATCTTAGTTTCTTCATCTGATGAGTGAGATGAATCTGATACTTGTTTGCTTCCCTGTGAAGGTGATTTCAAGGATGAAATGAAATAATAGAGGAGAGAGCAATTGCGGGTGCGCAGAAGGATGCCTGTTGTTAGTGAACGGGGTTGGGACCAGCTGCCTCTCAGCCTTGCCTTTCCCAGGACCAGGGTTCCTGCTTCTGTGGTTTCCAGGGTGACGATAATTCCCAGCAGTGGGTCCTGGGGAATGTGTTCATCCAGGAGTATTACAGCACCTTTGACAGGGCTGACAAGCATGTGGGGTTGGCCAAGGCTTTCCTTTTTTTTTTTTTATTGAACCATAATTGATTATACATATTTTTGGGATTCAATGCCGACATAAATTGATCAAATCAATATTACTAGTAAGTATATTGTTACAAATTGTACTTATTCTTTATGCCTCTTGTCCAATCTCTCCCTATGCTCCTCTCCCTCCTGCTTCCCACCACTGATAACCTTAGATTTTTTCTCTCCCTCTGAAAAAATGGTTTATCTGTTGATTTGTTGCCTAGATGATCTGTTCAATGCTGAGAGATGTGTTCAGGTCCCCCAATATTATCATAGAGCAGATGCTTCTGTCACTCTGGAATGGGCTTTGTAGAGAGAGATATCCTCTTCTTTTCTTTGGTCTCTGCTGGTGACAGTCCTCGTGTCAATGCTTCAGTGGCTGGTGGACCATCTGTGTGGTGGTTGTGATATCTAGCCACTTTAACAGCAGCCATGGTTACTGTGATAGCTGTCGTGGGCCACCCACATGGATATGATGTTTTGGGCATGCTCCTTGGTGCTGGTGGCATGCCTGGTTGTCAGTGGGGTATCCAGTCCCCGGCTCGATGCCCCGGGCCCCCAGGCGGGCCCTGAGATGCTCACTGTGTTCATAGTTGTTTTATATTCCTGATATGATAACTCCACATCTCTACCATATCTAAGTCTGGTTATAATGCTAGCTCTATTTCATCAAATTGTATTTTTTGTGTTTTAGCATGACTTGTAATTTTTTACTGAATGCTGGAGGGGGGGGGGGGGGGGTGTCCAGTACCTGGCTCTATGCCTCAGGACTCCAGGTGGGCCCTGAGGCACTGGCAGTGTGCTGGGTTGTGGGCTAAGGGGGTAAGGGGGGTCCAGTCCTCAACTCCATACCTCAGGTTCCCTGGTGGGCCCAAGGTGCTGGCAGTATGTCTGGGCCAGAACTAGTTTTTGTCCTTTGCTTACTTCTAAAACTGGGGAACTTCCTGTGGAAACCAGTACTTGAGCTGTGTGGTTGAGCTAAATTGCTGCTTTGCTGCTGTTTCCCTAGGGAAGGCTTTTTGTGCAGCTCAGGGTTTAATGGTTGACCTTATAGGTACTTCTAGCTCTTCAGAAGCCTAGTGCACCTGGGTTGTGTAAAAACTCTGATCTGGGCCTGAGTTTTTTCATCAAACTGCACCCCATGCAATTCTGCATTCCTGACCAGTCTCTTCTGAGCTGATTGGGGGGTGGATTGTCTGTCCTTGCTGTGTCCCAGTGTTCTCCCAGTGGGTCTGTCTTCCCCACCACCCTTGCTCCAAACACTTCCCATGGGACGGACCTTGTGCCAGTCTCTTGCAATGACTCACCAGCCTCTGAATGGCTCCCTTTTTTCAGCTGTTCTGGCTTCTCACTCCTGTGTGGGTCCATGGGAACCCTATTAGTGGTCTTGCTGTCCTGGGGGCCACCAAAGCCCTCTTCTCCCCTGCTGCCTCCAAGCAACTCCTTCTGAAGGGCACAGCTGTGGCTTCTGCCGGCTCCTGCTCCATGTGCTGAGCAGCTCCAGCCTGGAAGCGGCCACAGCCTGAAATGCTCTGAGCAGTTTTTTCTTTCTCTTATCGTGGCTTCTCCTGCCTTCATGAACTCTGTAGGTCTCTTCTCCTCTTCCCCTGAGCTCCAGCGGCCCCAGCTTGGATGTTGTTACATTTTTATAGTTGTAAATTGGTAGGTTTGTGGGAGAGAGTGATGCTGGGGACGGTCTATTCTGCCATCTTGACTGGAACTCGCTGGCCAAGGCTATCTGACTACACTACTGACTGTGGACTGCACTGTTCCGAAACATACATGCATGTATGCACATGCACACACACAGATTAAGTTTTCAGGCAGGTGGTTCCCAGTAAACACCACATTTCTGCAAAGCTTGCCTTCCCTTGTCCGCATTGGGGCCCTGCACTGGTATGGGGGTGGGATGTGACTGCCAGGGTGGGGTCCCCTGGGTGGGGAAGAGCTCAAGACACAGCTGGTGGAGGGAGACTTTCATGAGAACAGTGGCTCTTTCAAGCTTGGGTTAGAGAAGACCAAAGATGTCTTGCCTACCTGCCCTCCACTCCAGCTCTTTCTGGGAAAAGGGGGCAGTAAGGGAGACCTCCCTAGGACAAGACTTGTTTGTAACTAGAGATAAAGGCAAGGGCTTGGTGTTGGGGGCTGAGCAGAGAATGCTTGGCCCACGAAGAGAAAGGTTCTCAGTCTATTAGGAGGAGGGAGGCCTCACTGTGTTGGAAGAAGACAGATGATAGAATAGGCAGGGAGTGCCTGGGAAAGACTGAGGGTCCTGGGGAGGGACAGTCAAGTCCCATCCTCAGTCTTAGGGGCTCACGCCTGACTGTCAGCACCCAGAGAAGCTGCATCCCTGAGGGCAGACTTGTAGTCCTGGTCCTGAGGCTGGGGTGTCGCAGCCAAGCACAGCATTCAGATTCCCAGTGAGTGCCCGGGCTCACTGCTCCCTGTACACTGCTCCCTGCTCACTGCTTCCCTAGGAAGCTAGGGAAAGGCCACACGGAATCCAAATGTCACAGGGCCAGAGCAAGGGGATTCAGGTGGATTTAAAAGTTTTTTTCTCAGTTATGCTACTTTGAGGCCCTCAACTACCTTGGGAGGCAGATAGACAAGCTTCTGGGGGGCTCGCAGTGCTTGGCATCAGCTTGGCAGACTCCCTGGACAGTGCTCTGTTGGGAGCTGCACATGTTTGCTTCCACGGCTGCTTTGGATTGAAGTCCCCCCAAAACTTAATCCCACTGTAACTGTTGAGGGTGGGAAATCCTATTATGGTAATTGAAAGGTGGGGCCTTGAAGACGTGATTAAGGTGATGGTTTAATGGTGGTCATGGGTGTGGTTCTGAGGGCTTTAAAAGGAGAGCACTTGAGGAGTTCTTTCTCTCTGCTCCTGCCTTTCTTCAAGTGTTATACCCTGCGTCACCACCAAGATGCCCACCAGATGTGTTCCCTGGACTTTGGACTTCCAGTCTCTGACACTGTAAGCAATAAATTTTGTTTTCTTACAAAGTATTCAGTTCCAAGTATTTTGTTATAAGCAACAGAAATGAACTAATACAACAGCCCTCCTTCCCTTTTCTTTGAACGCTCTTCTTTTGACAGTCTTTCCCTTATCAGGGGACAGTACAATTGATCAGGATTCTGTTTCCTATATCATAGCCAGTCTTACCTCTACTATAATTGCCCCAAATGTAGCAATTGGACTTTGTAGGGCCCAGGGGAAGACATACTCTTCAACCCCGTGAAGGATCTCTGAAAAATCGTCTGATAAGCGCATATTGATATGAAGAAAAGACATAACAAATTTTATTATAACATAGTTTTGTGTGACACGGAAGCCTTCAGAGTGAAGGCCCAACGATATAGGGAAAACTGTCCATATTTATGTTTAGGTTCTATGAAGCAGGCACAGCCATGGAGGAATGTGACTGGACGAGAAAAGTGTGATTTAACGCTAATAGACTCAGTGGAGAAGCCCAGCAAGGCCTGTCTGTCCAGATTCTTCTTGGTCTCTCTGTGTAGCATTCATGCCTCCGGGGTATGGGGCAGGACCCTTTCTGGAACAGGGCTCTGATGACTTATGATCAGACAAGGTAGGTCAGAGAATTTCTTATGACCAGTTCTAAGAAAGAGATATGGGGGAAGATTAGAGCATATCTATGAAGGGGAAGAGGGATTCTAGTTTCTGTGGTTTGCCTCAGGGTAGAATGAGGCTGAGAGACAGGACGGCAGGAGAAGGTCAGAGGAAAACTTGGCTTTTGAGGCTGCTTCTGAGGCCTTCACTTTGGGTACTGCTTTCTGGGCCCCAGCAACTTTCAGTTACACATTGATCGTAGCTGAACTCTCAGAAGGCCTTGGAAAGTGGCTTGGGGCCATCTTGCTATCCGGTCTCTGCCCCCACCTCGTCCTGACCACAGGCTTGCCCTGCAGACAGCCCAAGAGACTGTCCTTTATGAATAGGAGTGGAAGTGGGGACAGGAACAGGGTCTGGCTTCTTTCTCCCGGTGGGGCTGGCGACAGAGAGGCCCATCTGGGGCATCTCTTGGCTTTGCTCTTAGCTGTACCCAAAGACAAAAATGATGAGGGGCCCAGGGCAATGGAGATGCTGCCTTTCTGCTCCTGTGGCTGTATAGCCAGTGCTGGCCATGAGGCATGGGCTCTGGCAGGACTGGGCTGTTGGGGTGAAGAGGAGGAGTGTTGGGAAAACAGAATAGTTTGGTCAGGGCCCTCACCTCAGGTGCAGTTGGGTGTGGTTTTAGCACATCCTTTGTAAGCAAATTGTGTGTGTGTGTGTGGGGGGTGGGTGGGTGGAGTTAGTGTGCATGCATGCCAATGTATCTTTTTAGGTTTGTTGCTATTCTTGTGTTCTTCAGAGAGAGAGAGAGAGGGAGAGAGAGAGAGAGAGAGAGAGAGTGAGAGTTATGGCCAACGTCTGACGGGTAAAAGAAATTTGCCCACGAGAACCGGGTGATAGGAAAGGGAAAAGAATTTATTTCTGGCAGCCAGGGATACGCAGGCCAATCGAAGTGTGCAGCCCCGAGCTGAAACCTCTCGCAGCTTTTATTTTTAGCTAGGCGGGAATTTTTCACACCTGACACAATCTAGCCAATGCAAGCAAGCCGGTGGTACATAAGCTAATTTTGTGGGTAGCCCTCTAGCCCCTCCCCACCCTGGATTCCCCATAGGGATTTTCTAGGCTAAAATGGCAGAGCCGCCTAAAATGGCGTTGGCCATGCTACTCTGTTTATTCCCCCATTTATTTTAGCAAGCGACTTGTACAGAAGCAGAATGCATAGTTTCTTTTACTAGGAGTGCAGTTGCAGCTGTAGCTCGTAAGCAGGTCAGTAGGGGTTGGGGTGTCCCTTAACATTCCCCCCTGTTGTTGTAGCTATAGCAAATCATTGCTATCTTAGGGGTTGAATTTTAAAAAGCATGTTAAAGTCTCTTTAGTCTTAGTTGGGTGGTTGGTGGTCTGGACACTCCAGCAG